AGAACCCTGATTTCTTCCTCAGCAGAGCAGTGCCCTGTGAGGGCTCTTTCCACCCTAAAGGTAGAGTGATTTATAATGATGGGTGACAGGACAGCCTGTTGCTTCCAGCTCTTGCACTCTCTGAAGCCTTTGAGAAAAAAGAATTACAGCCAAATTGGCCTGGCCAGGTCCTATTCCTCTCGGACTCCCCAGCACTATTCTCCCTGTACCTAGTGCCTCTGTGGAAACTTAACTACTTTCCACAATATTTACTGTCCCTCCTGTGTTGACAGCCCTAATGGACTCTACAGATGAAGCAATCTCCACCATGCCTTGAGCTGTACTTGAGTGGGCCCATTAGACAATGGCAGAAACCACCCTTGTGTCTGTTTCTAATTGAATAATTTACTGTAAATCGCCCCCATTTCCTCAACCAGCCCAGTCTTGTCAGCCAAATGGAGGTGAGCAAGAGCTGCCTCTAATGGGATGTGGGAGCAGAAATGAGCTGTCCAAATGGAACTGTTGTCACGGCAGGTGTTGAATTAAATCAGAAACACTTCCAGCTTCAAGTCTGTTTTTGTAAACCAGCCCCTCCTGGTGGAAGAGACAGCTCAGAAGGCTGAAGAAGCAAGGCGGCAGGATCCAGGTGGGATTCTCACTGAGTCAGGAAAGGCCCTCGGGGAGGCGCTGAAGGGGTTTCCTCTTTCCTGCTCACTCCTTCATTTGTCGTTTTTACCTCTCTTAATGAGCAAAGCAGCATCTCTGCCTTGATATATATTTCTCAACTCCTGCTTTCAAGGCGAAGGACACTCCTTTGACACTACCATGTGTCGAGCACAATGTCAGGGACTTTTGCAAGTAGTCTTATTTAATCCTTATGAAGTTCTTGGGAGGTAGGTATAACTGCAGGAACCACATTTTTAGTGGACTGATAATTTTCTCAAGGTCATGTACTTATCAATATGGCGTCAGGATTCAAATCTATCAGACTCCAAAGTTCATGTGCTTTTTCACGAGACCATGTAGCACAAGGCTAAGGGTTATCTTGAATCCAGTCTTGGTTTCCTGACATGCTGTGTAGCTTTGGAGGGGTTCAACTCTCCAAGTCTTTGTTCAACAGGATGAGTAAGACTTTGGGGAATGGGAGGGGTGGCTGCAAAGGCATCAGAGTGAAGACGAAGCTTTGCAGTGGGCATGATCATGATGACTGAAGGTTTAAAATAGGTATCTTTGCAAAACTAGTGATGCTTTACAGCTTTATTTGGGACTATAGTCTCCCCTCCACCCATCCCTTTAGGGCCCATCTTTGTCCATATGACTTTCACAAAAATAGCCAATAAATGGGGAACAAAATAGGAATGTCCCACAGTCTGTGCCCCTCTTCCTTCCTCCATTTGACTGTAGGGTTTGCTTCTTTTTTTTGAGGGATGTTCTTCCATTTTCCGGAGGACCTGTAGTCTGGGAGGTGAGAGCAGTGGGAGGTGCTGGTGAGAGGGAAGAGCAATGGGATTTCTGGGAAGGTTCCGCTGGAGCTGGGTGTTTCCTGGTAGCAAACACTGGACACGTGGCTGGCCTTCTTCCTTTCTTCCTTTGGGCTCCCATGCGGTTCTCTGGCTCCTTTTCTCCTTCCCCATCTTCCCTTCACTCATTCCCTGCTCTCTGCTCTCATCTCTCTCTTTTTCATTTCTTTCCCTCACTCTCTTCCCTCTCTCTAACATAAAATGAACATACATTTTTATTTTCTAAATTAATGCTGGACACATGTGGGTTGTTTGTTACTCTCACCATCTTCACGGGCTCCAGCATCTCCCCTCCAATCCTAAAACCTGGATTCTGTTCCTCTGTCACTTACTGGTCTGTGCTTCTTGCTAAATTTCAGAGGTCTCATCTCTAACAAGGGGCTGATGATAGTATTGAAAGAACTAATACTACATGAGGTATTTGGAACAGTTCTTAGCACATAGTACCTGCTCAATAAACATGACCTGTTATTATTATTGACACTGCTATCGACACTTTATAAACATCAGATGGGTTAAACTCTGGCCATTCCCTGTCTCACCTTCCAGATATTCTCCCTCATCCCCAGGGATGTGGTTCCTCTGAGAGCTAATCTGGTTCAAAGCCCAGGCCGTCGACCATGCAGGCCATTGTGTTGGGTCCTGTGCTCATTCGCACGCTGAATGAGATGTAGTTTCAGACATCAAGGAGTCTTATCCCACTGGGGGAAAGAGGTGGCCATGAGTAACACAGTCTGGGAATAGGGTAGTGGTACATGTGCAGCCCAGATGTCTTCAAGGTGCCTCCCCAGCCTCTGGGAACATGTGCGATCACATGGAGCAAGGTTTTGTTAGCTGGCAGGCTCTACCTGCATAATAACTGCTGGGAAGCTATGGATGAAAAGGATGAATAGGGCATCTCGCTGGGGTGCTTTAACAAAAACCAAGACATATGAGGCTCATTGCATACCCCTCCACTAAGAACTCAGAGTCTCCTAATGGACAGGAAGTAAATTGTTTTGGAGTGACTTGTCTCTACTGTGCTCTGGTTGGCTTCATGTGTTCACCACTTCATTCTGAAGGGTTCACAGATCAGCGATCCAGAATTTGCTGAAGAATTTGTGGCCACCAGACTGTGTTTATGAAATCTGCCTCTTAGAAATTCGGGGCATTTTCTTGCATTTAGGTTTCTGCTCATGACAACTTCTCCTTTTGGGGGGATCCCTCAGATACACCTTGAATCAGATCCAGAGGTCCATCTAATATTCCATGGTATGCTATATCCCATCCTAGGGAATCCTATGGGGTCAAGCTTAGAAGGGCCTTGGAACTTCCTTCCTGTCTCCTTGTCTCCTCACCTACGTCAGGCTTCAATGTCCTCTTCAACATCTTGACTTTGCCTCCATAATAAAGATGAGAGTAAAATAAGATTTGCTTGCTCACTGCCATTGAATCACATCTTAGCTTTTACCCTGAAAAGTCGATATTGTCCTTTTTTGTACTTTAGTCAAACATATTGAAACGAGAACAAATACCTCACTTTGTTGTTTCTAGCCTTTTCTTTTATGCCATCATTTTCAGACTGCTGGCTTGCTAAGTTCCAAAAATAATTCTCTCAATAATTATGATAGTGATAGAAATTGCAATGGTGATGAGATGTTATCGTGATCCCTGAGCACCGTCACTGTGCTCAGGGCTTTACCTGGTCCATCTCATTGTCTGCATCTCTCTTATCATCACTGACCACAGGACTTAGCACAGAGCAGACTCTAAGAGCATGATAATAATAACAGCTACTTTTATTTAGCTTACCCTGGCCTAATACTTCCACATTTCTTCTCTCATATCATCATCATAATAGTCCTATAAAATAGATGTTACATAGTATTATCCTCAGTTACAGATGAAGAGGTAGGGCTCAACATAAATGTATTAACAAATCATTTCACTCATTCCTTCAACAGACACACAGAGGTCAGGCTAAGTGCCCAGCCCATGGCTCAGTGCCGGGCTCATAGTCTAGTGGGGCCCACAGATGAGGAAACAGGCAGTGGCAGTGAATGTCTGGAATTATCCAGTTTATTCTGGCTCCTGCCTCCCCAGATTGAGCATTTTATTCTTTCTTCCCCAAATCATCAGGGGTTACTTTACGATCAGCCTCATCACAGTTAAAATCCTCCTTGTCTGTTCTGTTCTATAGGGGTCACTTACAATCATAGAGTTAGGAGTCCACTGTTGTTCCACCCACGTAAAGGGGCTAGAATGTCCATTTTTCTCAAGGAGGGCTTATTTATTGGCTTGAGGAGTTGGCAGAGAGCGCAACAGAGAAATAAAAAGAAGGAGTGTGAAGAAAGGATGTCCAGGGGCAGAAGGGACAAGACAAGGTAAGAAAGGAGGAACAGGTGGGCAGCAAGTTTTGGTCCAACCTGTGAGGCACAGGCAAGCCTCACAGTGTGTCGTCACTGCTGGGATTGGAGGCTCCGGAAGCTGGTTCCCTTTTATATTATATGTTAGGATGCTTTTGGCTGTGCAGAACAAAAACTCTCACTCAGACTGACTTAAATGACAAGAACTTTTATTATCTTAGGTAGTAGGAAGCCTAGAGTCAGCCAGATCCCAGCACTGGTTGATTCGGTATCTCTGTGATCAAGGGCCCAGCTGTTTTTTCTGTGTGCTAACTTTGCTCTCCAGCTAGCTCCTCTCATGGTTGCAAGATGGTCTTTAGCAACAAGAAAGTGTATGTTTCCTTGTTCAAGTTCAATAGGAGAGACAGATACTATGGCTCTCTGTTAGGAGAAAGAAAACTTTGCCTAGGAGGAAACCTGTCATGACTAATTGGCCTGAATTGAGTCACATGTCTATTTCTGAACCAATCACTGATGATTTGGGTGAAATTATATCATCTAAAGCAGCAGTTCTCAATCTGTGGGTCTTGAACCACAGGAACGGTATTAAAGGGCTGCGGCATTAGGAAGGTTGAGAACCACTGATCTAAAGTGGTTGGATCTGGGAAAGCAACCACTATGCCCATTATGGGGTCGTGTTGCTTAAACAACCTTAAGCATAGTCACAGTGAATAACCAAGTGCTATGGTGGATTGAGTCAGGGGATTAGAATGTAGAGATGCTGAATTTAGCAAATAATAGAGGATGCCCAGTGAAATCTGAATCTCAGATAAATCAGAGGTACTTTTTTAGTACAAATGTGTTCTATGTGATATTTTCCAGCCTATGTCCCCCAATATTTGGCACATACCAATGGATCAGGTAATGTTTGGCAATGGGACATAAGAAGGGATTGTCGAGGTTTATAGCAGACTAGGAACTTAGAAGCAAGAGCAAATCTGGTTCTGCCTTTCTTGTGTGAGCTCTGTGGCGTGCAAACTCATTCAAAAGGAGAGGAGACCTAGGAGGCCTTTTATTCATGTCTGCCTTTGTTCCTTGCAGCCTAGGTCCAGGTGAGAAAGTGATTATACTTGCTGTTGGGGGCCTCATTGAGCTGTCCTGCCCTCTGTTTTCACAGGGTCCTGACCGCTGTGGCCAGGCCTTGCTGCACATTGGTATCAACATGATGGCACTGCCTGGAGGCCGCCACCTGGACTCCATCCCCCTGCCAGGGCAGCGGTAAGTCCTACAGCTGTACAGCTGGCTTGGGTCCAGCACCTGGATCATGAAGCTGAAGGTGGCCCCATTTCTCCATACTGGCCTGGGGGGAGCCTAGGATGAAGTACTGGAGATGCCACATTCATTCAGCAAATATGAATGGAACTTGGCCCTGGAACATGGAGGAATCAGGGAGCTCCCAGCCCCCAGAGAGCTGTAGTTTGAAGTGGAAGCAGACAATAAAATCAAGCGGAATGTACTGTTAGGATATAGGACCCCAGAAAAGGTTCCTGATCACATCTAGGTGGGGGCCAGAGCCACAGGGGTTCTTTGGGTAGACCCTCTGTGAGCCAGTTGCAAGGTGCCGGTCTACTCTTGGACATCTTCTCTTTCCCTCAGTGCACCAAGGAGAGACTTGAGCTTGAAGCTTGTCCTTGGGTAGTGCTTGCTGCTCTGACTTGGGTAGTGTGGGAGGGGGAGAGACGCATACACTGAGCTGAAGGTGAGGCCCAGATGGTGAGCTGAGAAGAGTTTGGGGACATTTATCTGAAGAAGGAGAGACCTGGGGCCACCAGAGGGGCCTGCACACAGCTGAAAGGTATGGAGAGGCTGGTGTAGATTTCACCTGGCTGGTCCTGGACTCAAATCAGAACCAGTGGTGACAGTACCAGGGCACCAGATCCAGGCTGACCAGCTGTCAAGGTTTGCGGAAGATGGTCTTGATTTTGGTGTGAGAGTCCTGTGTCTCTGGAAACTCCAGTCTTGGGAAAATCTGGACAGTTGGTTACTTTAATATAGATTCGTCTATGGAGGAACTCAGCAACCTTAGGGTACTCAGGGCTTCTGCTTAGTCCTTTTTTATTTTCCTGAGAAATTCTGAGGGGCTGTCTTGAGACAACAGAATCCAAGTAGCCTTTGTAAGACTGTTAAATTACTGTTTTGTTTTATTTTGTAAAGTTTTATTTTACATATTACATGTGTCACTAACACCTTAATCTTTATCCTCAATCCTTTACCTGAATTACTAGGGATTTGAACTCACTACATCATTGATTTCTATATATTTTTTTATTATTAAGTAATATTTTTTGAGTATGTGTTGCTTTTAAAATCAGAAAAGATTATTAATTGTTTGCTAAAGGTCTGCTGGAACCAGGTTAACCCTGTGTGAAGGCACCAAGCTGTTCCCCTCTAAAGCCATCATTGCCGTCCAAAAGAGGATTTAGGATGTGACATACAGTTCATACATGTTCCTGAGGACTCAAACACCATGAGAAATGTAATTAAGAATTTCCCATGCAGCTGGAAGCTGAAAATAAGGGAGCATATGGGGACCCAATTATCTTTACACGCAGCCCCTCTAAGGTAGAATTTGGAGATGGTGAGATATAGACCTGTCATGTGGAGATGGGGTTGCCTCATCCTTTCATGAGATGAACAGGATGCTTACTTTGGACACATGACCACTTGGCTTCAAAGCTGAAGTCCACTTCATACCAGCTGTGCACCTTGTGCAACTTCTGGAACCCCACCCAGCTGCTTCTCCATTTCTTCAGGTAGCAAACAGGGGCAGCCATTGCAGTAGGACCTCCTTCATAGGGCTAATGTGAGGATTAAAAGAATTTGTAAATACAAAGTGTCTGTCACACATTGAGAGCTACACGGGGACCATTGTTTACTGAGTGCCTGCTGGGCGTCCTTCATGTATGGGTGATCTCAGGGAATTCTTCCAGAAACCCTTCTCATGGTCCCTTACCCTCAGCAGAAGACTGGGACATAAGGAATCAGACAGACACTCCCAACAACCTAATATTCTAAACTATGAAAAAATGGAAGTATTCTGGAAGAAGTGAAGTCTAAGTTTCCCTGCCCTGACCTGCCCATAGAGTAGGGTCAGGGACTGTGTAGCCACATGGGTGGCAGTGGCTCTGGCCACAGGGCTTTGGGGTCCCTCCACACACACCTGTAGTCCAGGGATGGTCAGATCTGAGCCTGTGCTGGTGTTGGGGGAGCCATGATCAGAGGGCAGTTCAGGGCAGTAGTTAGGAGCCCAATGGCCTCTACTTGATTCTCCATTCTGCTCCTTATTCACTGTAACTTTGGTCTTCAGTTTCTTCATTTCCAAAATGGGAATAATTTATACTTCTATCATTGTATTGTTAGGAGGCCTTAAAATAATATGAATAAAGCACCTGCTGGCATATAGGACTTGCTGAGGCCATGTTAAATTCTCCTTCCGCAGAAGAGGCATAGGTCCCGTGTGCAGAGAATGTGGGGCAAAGATCAGATCCTGCCCCCACTTGGGACCCTGGGAACTACTGATCTCTCCCTTCCTCTTCCCTACTTCTACCCTCCTCAGAAGTTTTAAGGGTAACAGGAAATTAAATTACATAAAAGTGATTTAGGAATCAAATTATTATTCTTTTAGAGGCAGGGCAGGATTTCTGACTGATCTTGCTGAGCAAATAGCTTGGAAAAAAAACCCCAGACTAACATAACTGAGAGAGTTATGGCTGGCCATAAAAGTGGCAATCTGCGAATTTTTTTCTTTTTCACAATGTCTTCATCCTTACAGTTCTGATAGGGCAGGGTGAGCAGCAGGGAGAGGGTTGTATTTCCTTTAATATGGTCACATATGGTCTTGGCACTGCCCAGAACATTAGGAGAATGTAACCTTGGGCCTATCAACTTGCTAATCACACAGGTTCCGGGTGTGTGTGTATAAGCCAGGTTAACAGAGAAGACCCATATGTACTTACAAAATGTCAGAGGTGCTAATTTATTCAATCTGATGCCACATTATAGGCAGACAGTCAGCCACCTTTTCTTTCCTCCTGCTCCAAGCTTCAGAGGCCTCTCTCATGGGGAATAACACCATGGTTATTGTCTCCAGGTAAATAATTAATGTTGGATAATTGACTTCCTTTGTTGTGTTCCATTGACACTGAATTTCATTTTGCAGTGCCATTGTTCACCTCCATGTACAAAAATAAATAAATAAATAAATAAATAAACAAGTACTGTTGTGTTGCATGGACTATTCTAGCAGTCTGGGTGAATCAAGTGGGTTAGGCCATTGGCATTTGAGACTCCTGTGGGAAAATAGCAGCAAGAAGCTTGTTCTAGGTGCAGACTTCTGGAAGACTGCAGGGGATAGGGAGCAATGGTTCCCTCTGCCTGGGGTTGGGATCCCGTGATGAATTGGCATGAGCAATGGGAGGTGGTCTGATGGGGTGTAGTGGTCCTCAGCTCTGATTGCATTCATATCTGCTGGGACATGTTCATATTTGAAAGTAATAAAATAATTGTACTATTCTCTTAAAATCTTTAATGTTAGCCTAAGTGGTTGAAAGCATGTAAACCTTGGAATTAGACTTGAGTTCAAATCCAGCTCATTTCTTACCAGCTTTGTGACCTTGGGCAACTGCTTAACCTGTGTGAGCACCAGTTTTATCTTCTATAACACGATGGAATGATGAGTGCATTAAATGGTAGTGCAAGTGCTTGGATCCAGGAAGGAAGATCTCTCCAGGGCCTACAGCTTCTTTGCAGTGTACAACCCTCACTTTCCCAGGCCACCAATGACAGTAAGAAGATCCTACCCACTCATTCACCCACACCAAGTGGTGAAAAATGCTGCCATCTCAGGTCCAGGTTCCTCCCTAGAAGGTCAAGGATTTATTGGTGGGAGTGAAGGGGACCAGATATGAGCTCCCCAAACAGCAGGAGACAGTGGCTTCTATATCCCTAGCTGGTCTTTATTTGTTCCTTGGTCTCTGGAGTGCCATCTTTCCATCTGGGATGCCATCTTTCCATCTGGGAAGTTCCAGAAGAAGTTCCTGCTTGCTCAGGACATGGTAGTGATGCTGGAACTCAGCTATGTGGTCAGCATGTCAACACCCGTCTGCACACTCCCAGGGCTGTGCCCTCCACCATCAAAGTCTGGTCTTGATTCTACAGGAATCAAGATAGCCCAGTCCTTTGATTTAACTGTCTTTATGGGATTTAACTGCCTTTATGATTTAACTGTCTTCTAGGGGGTTAGTTGGAGGCCAGGGTCCACACAGGGCTATGTCCAGATGTCCTCTTCCTTTCTCACTTCCTTTCATTTCTTCTCTTGCCCACAGTTCAAGCTAAGGCATCTTGTTATTTTCTCTCTGGGTCCCTGCCAGTGAAGGGTCGAGGTGGCAATATTGCTTAATGGATGAGTCTTTATAACCTCCATAACAAAGCTGGCTCACAGTTCCAAGCCCTTGCTATTGGCTGGCTACTGCTGTGTACAGCGACTCATTGAGTCTTTACTGTGACCCATGAGTATAATTCTTATTACCTATATTTTACGAACAAGAGGTCATAGGATTGGTTCTCTGGGAAGCAACCTTTGAAGTGGAGTTAAGAGTTCAAGGTGGTTATTAGGGAGCACGTTTGGGATTAACACTAGTGGCAAGGAAAGGAAGGAAGCAGGACTGGGCTGAGGGTGAAGATGAGCTGCAATGTTGGCTTGGTGACCTTAGCTGACCTCACAGGGAGCTTTGGAACCAGAGTTGTTTTTCATTGGCTGAAATGGCCAGGCCTTTTATGTCCCACTTTTATCTGTCTGAAGAGTATATTTAAGAGGTTTTTTAATTGGGAGGCAATTGCACTAGGGCTGCCTCAGCAGTTTAAGTTTCTGTATAAGCAAACTGAAGCCCAGCATAATTAGTAAAAGGAAGCTAGAGACTTTGTCCATCAGAAACTGCCAACTAACTTCTAACTAGAGTCTTTCCACTTTAGCAATCACATGCATTTTCTTTTTTTCTTTCTGGATTCAGCCTGTCTGCCCTGTCCATGTGGTTGCAGCAGAGCTCACTAGCCTCTCTGGCTCAGAGTGCTGCCTGATTCATGAATTGTTCTTTGCTCAGCTAAACACTTCTAAACTTCTTTTATCTAAAGCTTTTTTTTTTAATAAGTGAAAAGCTCTAGGAAGGGCATGACCATCTGGAAGGCCTGACAGCTGGAGGCTGTTGGCTAAACACTCCCAG